GATCTAGGAGTCTGGTAGATTGCAGCCTCAATATGAGTTTGCATTGTGATGCAGTTACACAAAAGGTGAATACAATTTTGGGAGGCATCAACAGGAGCATTAAGTGCAAGACACAGGAGGTAATAGTGCCTCTTTACTCAGCACTGGTTAGATCTCATCTAGGGTATTGTGTTCAGTTTTGGTTTCCACATTTTAAAAAGGATATGGAGAAGTTAGAGAGGATACAGAGGTAGGAGACAAAAATGATAAAGGGCTTCTGATGGGAAACATGGTAGGAAACAAATCACAATATAATAGAATTTGTGATCCTGAGATGGGAAAAGCATGATGTCAGCAGAATTAAGATACTGGATTTCAAGAAGTTAAATGTCAACCAAACAAAGGACACAATAGGCATGGTGCCATGTGAGGACAGACTAAATGATAAAGGCACCCAAGATGACTGGAAGCTTCTAAAGGGCACAGTACTGAAAGCCCAAAAAGAAGCTATTCCAACACAATGGATGCACAAGAGGAATGGCTGCTCAAGGAGCTTGTAGACTACCTCAAAAAATACCGGCAATGGAAAGAAGTGAAGATCACCAAGAAAGCATACCGGGAAACAGCAAGAACTTGCAGGGACAAAATCAGGAAAGCAAAGGTAAAAAATTAACTTCACCTAGCAGGAAAGAAAGATCAAGGAAGTTGTGGGTCCACTGTTAAATAGCCAGGGAACATTATTAACAGAGGATGCAAAGAAGGTGGAGCTGCTCAACAACTACTTTTGTCTCAATCTTCACAAAAAAATTAAGTTGCCACCAAACACCTAATAAGAATTATTTTGATGAGAAAAGGGACAAGCTGAGTGATGAGATAACAAAAGAAACAGTAAGCTTTAAATAAGTCTGAATGAATTCAAGTCAGCAGGACCTGATGAACTTCATCCCAGAGTATTGAAAGAACTGACAGAGGAAATCTCAGAAACATTGACAAAACTATTTATGAAGACATAGGAGACAGGCAAAGTACCAGAGGACTAGAAAACAGACAACACAGTGCCCCTCTTAAAAAAGGCTAAAAGGAAGAACCCAGGAACTATGGATCAGTTAGCCTCACCCCAATATTCAGGAAGTTACTAAAGCATATCATAAAGAATTCCATTTGCAAGTATGTGGAGAAGGAAATGATGATCATGAGCCTCCAATATGGATATAGTATGGATGAACAAACCATGCCAAACAAACTTGATCTCCTTTTTCAACAAGCTAATCAATCTGGTGAAGGGAATACAGTGGAGATAGTGTATTTAGATTTCAGACAGGTTTTTAAAACAAATTGGAGTAATGTGAGCTGAACAAAACTACTATAAGGTGGATAGACAACAGGCTCAATAGCTGCAAGGAAAGGGTAATTAATTATAAATGGATCCATGTCAGAATGGTAAGAGGTTTTTAGTGGAGTCCCATAGGAGTCTGTCCTGGGCCCCGTGCTGTTCAACCTGTTTATTAATGATTTGGAGGCTGGAAGAGAGAGCTGTTTAAGCTAGTTTGAAGACCAAATGAAACTAGGAAGGAATGCACACATACAGTGGTGGACAGGAGCACAGTTCAGAAGAATCTTGATGCATGAGAAAGTTGGGTGGCAGTTAACAGGATGAAGTTCAATGCTGACAAATTCAAGGTGCTACACCTCAGGAAGAATAATCAAATGCACTAATACAACTGGCTGAATAGAAGTACAGTGGAAAAGGATCTAGGAGTCTGGTAGATTGCAGCCTCAATATGAGTTTGCATTGTGATGCAGTTACACAAAAGGTGAATACAATTTTGGGAGGCATCAACAGGAGCATTAAGTGCAAGACACAGGAGGTAATAGTGCCTCTTTACTCAGCACTGGTTAGATCTCATCTAGGGTATTGTGTTCAGTTTTGGTTTCCACATTTTAAAAAGGATATGGAGAAGTTAGAGAGGATACAGAGGTAGGAGACAAAAATGATAAAGGGCTTGGGAGGCAAATCATACAAGGAGAGACTGAAGGAAATAGGCTTGGTCAGCTTGTGTAAAATGTAATTAAAGGGGGACATAATAGCAATCTTCAGATATATGAATGGCTGCCATAAGAAAAAAAAAAAGAATACCTTTTATCTCGTGCTGCAGAAAGCAGGATGTAGACAAATAGCTAGAAGTTGCAGCAAAGTCAGTTTAGAGTAGATACAGGGAAAAAAATCTTTTCAGTTAGAAGAGTGAGGCAGTGGAATAGACTTCCTAGGGAAGTTGTGGGTCTTGAATATTGGAGGTGTTCAAGAAGAGGTTAGATAAACTTTGGTCAAGAATGATCTAGGAGTAACTATGCTTATGTTTTTCTAGGAGTATTTCCCATGCTTCTGGGCTTTGCTGAGTGCTGCATGGGACCAGGAAGGATTTTTTTCCCTTCTTGTTGCTATGTATATTGGGGTGACGGGGGGTGAAGATTTTGCCTTCCTCAGAAGTATTGGGTGTTGGCTGCAGCCAAGGTTGGGAATTTTAACTGGAGTGTGTCAATGCTCCTGCTGAGACAAAAAGCAGAAGGTTCTTGGTTAGAAGATCTTGCTCTTCCACTCAGGGTCAGACTAATAGCTGTATTTGGGTTTAGGAAGGAATTTTACCCCATGGCCAGATTAGTATGGACTGTAGAGGTTTTTCCCTCTTCCTTGGATCTCTTGAGTGTGTTTTAGCAATCCTTTCAGCAGCAGGGTATTGACCACCATTGTCTCCTGTTTGTTTATCTGTGACCAGTTAGGGTTCTACACCTTGTAGTCTGTGACAGTCTTGACTTTTGTAGTTTTAGTAGCAAATTAGACAAGGATTGTATGGGATGGTTTGGATAGGAATGATCCTGTCTCAGTCAAGGGGTTGGACTAGAGGACTTCCAATGGTCCCTTCCAGCCCTACTTTTCCATTATTCTGTGAAACATTTTGCACTTGCTTTCATGGGTGGCTGGGTTTGTATGTATTCCATATTAAGTTATATCCCCTTCGTAATGCTTCTAATAACTTGTTTGACTTCAGCCACTCTTGTGAATACAGCAGATGTATTAATGGCAGTGGCCATGACAGCTGCATCTTTTCTTCTGAGTTTTAGCTAATCAAGAATCTCCAAGTGTAACTAGGTAGACTAATTGTACCCAGAGGTGTAACTAACAGTTTTTTGCTCAGGGCAAAAGCATGCCAGAAAGCTGAGATGGATGGGGTGGTTGGTGTGTTGTTACTGCTGCAGTACAGAGCTGCTGCCAGGGCAAAGACTCCGCAGAGACCTGCTGTTCCATGGCCCCCTCTAAGTCAGTGTCTGGTACTGGTGACTGTTTAACCACCCCTAGTTACACTGCAGATTATCCTTTATTCTGTTTTCTGATTCTGTTGTGTTTGCAGATATGATATGCTGAATATAAGCATGACTGACAAACAGCACACAAGGCTGCCTGAGCTATGGAAATCAATTTGTCCTTCAATCCTTTTTTATTGTATACTGTGAATTGCCTCTATATTGCTATTAATAGTACGAGAATGTCTGTGATAGAAAAAGAGAAGCTGGTAAACTTCTGTCCACTGCAGCCTAAAAAATCTAACACTTTTGTAGATTTATTCCCTAGGTTTTAAAGGCTCTGTGTTTACATACCAGAAATTGCTACTGATTGTATCAGAACAGAGAAAATAGACTAAAAGAGCAAATAAGTATAAAATAAACCTAACAAGTAGTCGGTTGACTTGGTCTATTAGTAATATTCCCAAGGTCTGTTGTCAAACAATGCAGAGAAATAACTGTTTGGCAAATGTTTTCAATTGAATTTTCCAGTTATTTATACTATGTATTCATTTGTCTATAATATAAAGTAGAATTGACTCAATCGGTAATAATATCATTTTTACACTTGTATTTATAGCCTTTTATTGAACAATATACTTAGGATGATTAGCTGACTTATTACAAAATGCATTCTCCCTTTAAGAGTTATTCTGAGTCTTCTAAAACCCAAAGATCTGTGGGTTGTTTTTTTTCAATCAGTGCTAAAATGTCATAAGACCTATCCTTTCGAAAGCAAATAAGTGTCAGGCTCATGATTAGATAAATTTAAGTTATAGTCTGTTAACTTAAAAATGTTTACTGGGAACCAATGTTTTTATCCTTTTATTAATGAACTACAATGCTGTGTAAATAGCTCATATTAAGAGGATCCACCATCAGAATAAAATGACAAGCTGTTAACACAGTTATCTGTTGGTGTTATTAGTAACATCTTGGATTGCTAAGTAAAAAAAAAACCTGAATTTATCCTCATACATGCTTTTTTCTCTACACTCTTTACACAGCTTGGACAATTAAAATAAATGTATTTTGGCTCAGTAGTGTAGTTAGCTTCAGTTGGATTACTAGTGATGCCTATGTCTTTGGTTTTCAGCACCTTTCTGTCAAATGTTTTTATTTGGATTGTGCATGTGTTTATTTGTTTGTTTATAGAGAAATATATAATTAAATGCATGCTTTTTAAAAACCTAAAGTTGAGGCCAAATTTAAGTTGTCAGCATTCATTTTCCAATTATAAAATGTGAAACTGAGAAGATATATTAAATATAGTTCAACCCAATATAGTTATCCTGCACGATTAACAATTTTCTTTCTGCAGGATATAGTGTCTCCTCGTGTGTCTTCGTTCCTTCAGCATCAAAAAGAAGTGATATCTGAAAGCTTGCAATTACAAAGGACTGAATTTCTTTCCTCACTGATTTCTTTCCTCCTTTTTTCTTTCTTTTTCTTTAGTATAGAATTATTTTAAATGCAGATGATAAATGATAACAAGGAATTTTTGTCTCTGACCTTTCTATTGCTTTGACTGACTCAAAAGGTTTAACCTTTACTTGAAAACCTATGTACTGATCTAATGGGATCTTCAAGCAAAAGCACATTTAATGTCCTGATATCTATTTGCACACTATGACCTTTAGCTCACAATCACATTTTAAGGTTACCTTAAGCATAGCTATTACCTGCAGTTGGGACAGAGTCAATGGATATCTAAACAATATCCAGGTAACACCTTCACTGCAAGGCGGAATGGTGAGAGAGCCTTCATAAACCCAATAATCACGTAGAAGAGGATCTACAATTAAAAAATATATATAATTTTTATAGTGATTAATACTTTACACACATAATATTCAAAAATCAATGCTTGACAAAAATCAATGCTTGACAAAAGTGGCTAAGGGCTTGTCTATATGAGAAGCCACAGAACAGTAAGCTAATGGGTTTATTTAGTAGAGGAGTCCTTGGAGTAAGTGAAATGTAGCTGTCTCCATTTAGAAAGAACATTAGTACAGTGTATAGGATAGCTAACTTACTCCTTTGTAACTTGCCTAGGAAAAATCTTTAAGTTTGACCACATTAAGAATTTGTCTTAGCCCCACAAAGCTTTGGAACAGGTACCTGAAGTTTGGTGCACTTGGTGAAGTTTGCTGCACTTGGTGCCAGGGAAGTGTCTTTTGCCTTAACAAGTATTACCACTATTTTAGGGATCAGGAAAAGGAGGTATATTCAAGTCCTTAAGGTCACACTGAGGCAGATTGTAAAACAGATGCCAGATTTCCTGAATCCTGGTTCTCTCCTCTAACCATTAGAACAGACCAAATTCGGAGAAGATCCATAAAGCCCAAATTAGGATGTATGAATGGGATGGGTTTGTGAAACAAAGGAATATACTGACAGGACAGATCATGGACAGTAAGATGACCACTGAGGCCATGAGTAGACAAAATGAGGGACATGTGTACACAACACTTCAAAGCGAGTTAAATGCTTTTGCACCGCTTTAATGTTATTGGTGTTTGCATGTGTTGGTGGTGTATTGCACAGTAATTCCAGCCACTGTAGCAAATTCAGCAGCATAATGCACCTTGAATGACTTGGGGCACAGCAAACTAAAACTCCTCTAAGGAGTTTTAGTTTGCTGCCCTACAGCCATGGAGCAAAGCACCGGGCTCTGTGCAGCTCAGAGGTTCTGCAGAAAGCCCATGAAGGCAGCCTGGAAGCAGCCCAGGGAAGCAGGCTCCACAAAAGAAAAGAAAAGAAAAGAAAAGAAAAGAAAAGAGGTGAACCTGATCTTTTTTCCATTTTTCCCCTGGACCCTGCCTGCCTGCCTGAGCTGACCAGTGCTAGCCTCTGCAGCTGTGGTGCCCCCTGGGACCACCAAGCTGGGTGCCTGTGGGCAGGTGCTGCCTGGGGCGGGGGGGGCTGCCGCTGCCATGGAAGAAAACACCAGCCTCCCCCCACCCCATTTCCCTCCCCCACAACCCAGGGACTGTTCTGCGCTCTGTGTCAGTGAGCAATACACGTCAACCCTCATCAAGACAGAATCCAAGGATGAGGAATTAGAAGGATTGTGGGTTAGGCTACATGGGGGGCAAGGAGAAAGGGATTTGGTGGTAGGGGTCTGCTACAGACCCCCACATCAAGGGGAAGAAAGAGATTCGGGGCTCCTGAGGCAACTCTCGGAGACCATAAAAGCTAAAGAGGCGGTAGTCACGGGGGACCTAAACTACCCGGACATTTGCTGGGAGTCACAGACAGCAAAGTCCCAACGCTCACGTAGGTTTCTAACCTGTGTACAGGACCTTCACCTGACACAGGAAGTACACGGTCCCACTAGGGGGAATGCCATACTGGATCTGGTATTGGCAACGGGGGATGACATAGTAGGGGACCTCCAGATCGGTAGCCATCTGGGGGATAGTGATCACCTAATAATAGAATTCACCATCAGACGTCGAGTGGGTAAGGTAACTAGTAGGGTGAAAGTGCTAGACTTTAGGAAAGCTGA